AAAAAAAAAAAAAAAAAAAAAAAAAAAGTAGAATTTCACCTAGAAGAGAGTGGTAAAAACAAAAATTGCTGGTAACCTCGTTGGTTGTAATTACCATACCTAAAGAGGCAATGCATCAGAACTTTCTGAATGTTGAGTATCCAAACACTACACAAACATGCATCAGTTCATTAACTGGCTTTCAGTTTTCAGGAAAGGAGATCAGATGAATGAATTTGAACCTCCCAGTTACAAGCGGCTCACACAGCATTGAGAGTTGTGGGTAAAGTTACTATTATTTATCAGCAATTAAGCAGGTGTTTTCTACTGGTAACGTGAAATCTTTCAGTTGCCACAATTTAGATTCCCGATTCAGATGCGGCATTTCTGATCCGCAACTCTGCTCCCACATACACCTGTAAGTTGGATCCACTCCTGGTATGAATGGTAGAAACAGCATAGGCATGGTCATGAAACACTTTTTGTTTTGGCTTCAGGTGTGCAATGAAATTATGATGTGATTTGTTTGTTTATTATGTGATTTATGATGGTGAATGTCTTCTGTGGCTCAGTTTTCTTATTTCTAATCTGGGGCTAATGACTTGACTTGCAGAGTATGGACATGAAAACCAAGAACATTATAAATACATTTTCTATAGCAATAAGTAAACATAATCAAATGCCAAAAATAGAAGCTGAATATTGCTCATTTATTCAAACAATATCTGAATTCTTCACTCTGAACTGTGCTGACTTTTCTGAAAATAAATGATATATTAAGATAAATAGCTCCTATTCCTTGCTATGATACATAGATGGCAGGATAAGTTTTTCTTCCCTGTTCCCATCTTCTCTGTATTTCTAACCATGGTTGGTGGTGATTAAAACCTGAGTTGGTGAATGATTAAGTAGTGAAAATACAGTTTATCTGTATTCTGCATAGTTTTAGATTTCTTCATCTTTTTACCTGTTTCTGCACCTCTTCCCTTTCTATCAGTTTACCACAGTTGAGTGTTTTCTGTACTTTCCTGTTTTAAGCAGTCACCTAGGATGCTTCTTAACTAGCGTTAAGTTTCTAGGTTCCTCTTCTACAGAAACACTGCCACAGATTAGTACTTCAGTCCCCACCTACCTCATTACAGCTAAAAGATCTTTGGAAGCACTAATCAAAGGGGAGTGATAATAGTTTTGCCTTGCCCATAATGGAAAATCTGTAATGTAGGTTTCATAAGCACCAGGATAACACCTTCTTCATTTCTGTATCTCTAGCCTCTAGGAGAACCCCTTCCTAAAGTAGGTGCTTGAAGCAAATTGAGTACATTAGAAAAGGGATTTTCATCTCATATTTCATTATTCCTGTTGGGCTTGTTCACCTGCAACCCTGCATTCCTGACTCCTCCATGATCCACCACTTCCTCCGACAATGGGGTATATTTACAGAATACCCACAATGTGATAGTGTCCAGTCCAATTTTCAAGGAAGACCTATGACATAAGCATATGTTAGTTTCAGTTTACAGATATGAAATACTAGGCTCAAAGAGGGTAAATTGCTTGTCCCATTTACACAGATAGTGATTAGTGTAGCTACTATTAATAACTACTTATATCTAACCAGGTGTTTTACTATTATTTTAGATTATAAAATACATATCAGTTTTAGAAAACTTGAAAATAATGTAAAAAAGAAAAGGAAAAAATTCAATCATACAACCTGGTTATTTCTTTTATTAATACTTTATTATCTGTTAAATGCTTATCTTAGTTATTACATGAAATCTTTAAATATTATTTTAAAGCAATGTTATTTTCCTGTTGTCACATAGCCTAAAGGGTGAAAGGGTTTACAAAATCCATGGTCAGGTTTGTTCTTTTAAATAAATAAATCAGAAAAGCAAGAGAAAGACAGGAGAGGACAGAGAGAGAGACAGAGAGAAGGAGAGGCAGGATTCAAGTTAATGGGTTAAAGAATAGTGCCGGTCAGATAAAAGAGAGAATTTTGGCTTTTCCCTCCCCAGTTTATATGGACATTCTAGCAGTGTCTCCTTTAGTGACAATTCTTCATCTACATTGTGTATTCATTTTCTGATCCGTTACTTTGCAATTCAGAAATTCAGGCTAAGAGTGAAGAAGTTCAGCACCATGGCCAGCTGCTGAGGATGTCATTGGAGACATAGCGTGCTGTTGTGTTTTTCAAGTTACACTCTTGTATGAATTTCCTATTTACATTACATAGTTACACTAACCCTTACTGTATCTAGCTTGGGCGGAGACAGTTCTACGGAGAAATTGAACTGTGTGATTTCTCTTTGCCTACTTTCTTAGAGTAGAACATTGATATTTTTCCAGAACTACTAAATGGGAAAGAGATTTCTTCTTTTAATCCATACGGGGGTTAGATATGTTTCCTTTCTCACTTTTTACATAGCTTATTCAAATTGCCCATGGCAATCTGCCCTCTGTAGAATTACAATAGTCTAAACCCATTCAGGCAGGTAGAGAATCAAAGAGTGGAGATATTATGGCACAAGAAAACTGTTGTAAGAAATAAAGAAGATATCAAGAGTACATGTAGGTCACTCATACTTACAAGAGCCCAGTGCTTTTAACTAAGGCCGGATGTTTATGCAATCCCCAATACATACAGTTGTAGTAAAGAGAGACTCCTAGAATAGAACAAATGTCTACAGAGCACCCGGGGGCGGAGTACAGGGTTCAGGCGCCAAAGCATATGATTGTATAATGAACCATTGAGATGCCAGAGAAAGTTCTTCCCATTCTCCAAAAAGTCAAATGAACATTTAATTTAGCTCTTTTGAAACTCAGGCATTTTAGTAAGCCAACTCACACATATTTATGGAATGTTTATCATGTTTCTGGAATTGTACTAAATACTATAAAAGTTTTTCTTTTTAAGTTGCCACTTTTTGAGAGCCTACTTTTAGGCACTGCATTAAGCATTTAAAATATGTATTCTATTTAAATCACATTGCAATCCTACAAGCTATATCCAAACCCATTTACACATGAAGAACTGCTGGTCAGTGATTCCCAGTCGATGGCTCAAGGTCACATAGCTTCATAGCTATAGATATGGGATTAGAGCTTTATACAATCCTACCCCAATGTCCTGACATTAGTCACTAAAATGTTATAAACTTTTATAAAATAAACAATAAAAATATAAAACAATTAATAAGAAATGTTAAACATCAGGCAGACAGTATGTATGTGTTAAGTTGTGAGAATGGAGAGATCAGGAAGGAACAGAGGGGCCCAGGATCAACCTTGAGTAATCAGGAGATTTTGTTATGGAGAGAGGAGGAAAGCAGGTATTTCAGACAAAGAATCAATGGCATAGAATGCACCACATTTTTCATAACTT